TGTAGACCAGGCTAGCCTTGAACTCACAGAGCTCTGCCTCCCAAGTGCTGGAATTAAAGGTGTGCACCACCACGTCCGACTTTCAGGCTATTTTTTAATTAATATCAATGTATGGATGTTTTCTGTGAAAGATCTATATCTATATCTATCTATCTATCTATCTATATATATTGTTTGTTTGTTTGTTTTTTAAGACAGGGTTTCTCTGTGTAGCCTTGGCTGTTTTGGAATCAGTTTGTAAATCAGGCTGGCCTTGAACTCAGAGATCTGCCTGCCCTCTACCTCCCAGAGTGGTGGGATTACAGGCATGCAATACATGCCCAGCTTATATTAAGGACTTCTATTTCTATTCCGTTTGTGCTTTAACTTAAAAAAACAATTTAAGCGTTCCCATTTCTACTGAACTGACCATGTGTCCTTCCTTTCTGGTGGTCTGAAAGCTGTAAGTTGTATTTATAAAACTTTAATTATTCCATTAAGTTAAAAAAAAAAGGCATACATTTAAATGTCTGAAAATGCCCAGTATTTGTTTTCTTCCTAAACATGGCCTTATTATATTGTACTATTTCATACTACAAAACTTCTCTACATTAACTTACTGTTGTCACTGTATAAAGCCACATTGCCAAATATGTTATCAATAAGTGCCATTTGGCTTTCAAACACTTGCTATGTGACCCATTTTATACTTAGTGTGTTCTAAGTATAACACTGTATAACAGTGTGTCCTAAGTATAACAAAACACTGGGTTTTGAGGCAACGTTAGAAAATAAAAGTAAAATATCTCAAAAAATGTGTAGTGACATGTTGAAATTAGTTTTTAAAATATATTAATATTGCTTCTTTCTTTAGTAATACAACTCACAAATAAAAATTATATACGTGCCTCGTATTACATTTCTACTGTACAGTGCTTATCTACAGGTTTTAATTGTCTTGTTCTTTTGTTGTTTTACAATGCAATACTGAGAATAAAACCCAGGGCCTTCCACAGGCTAACTGCTACTCAAGCATTGACCACTAGACTACATCTCTGGAACTGTTTATCTGTTTGTAGATTAGGTTTTCCTGTTCCCTAGGCCTCTGGGCTAAAAGTGATCTTTCCCAGCTCGGCTTCCTAAGTAGTTGACGCTGCAGGCACATATCACTGAACCAGGCTTATTGCTTTCATTTTAGCTTTGTTAAAGAAAACCCCTCAGAATTCTATTTTCTGCACTGCTAATAGTTACAGTGAACATTTCACCTAATTAAAATTATTCAGTCTGTATTTACCCAATAAAATGTTACATGGTCTTGCCTTATCAAATATGCTCCATTTTCTCCTTGTAGCATATGAGAAGAAATGTCTTGTCAACTTATTTATCATACTTCCACATGTGACTGACCTCTAACCTTACTAGCTTTTTTAACACTTTTAATATTTTTTAAAAAATATTTATTTATGTATTTATTATGTATACAATGTTCTGTCTGCATGTGTGCCTACACACCAGAGGATGGCATCAGATCTCATTATAGATGGTTGTGAGCCACCATGTGGTTGCTTGGAATTGAACTCATGGACCTTCTGGAAGAGCAGCCAGTGCTTTTAACCTCTGAGCCATCTCTCCAGCCCCCCACTTTTAATATTTTTAAATTTTATATGTATGGGTATTTTGCCTGCATGTATGTCTGTGCACCACATGCGTGCCTGGTAGCTACAGAGGCCAGAAGAAGGTGGGGATCCACTGGAACTGGAATTACAGAAGGTTGTGAACCCCTATGTAGGTGCTGGGAATTGAACCAAGGCTTTCTGGAAGAGCAGCTAGTGCTCTTAAACACTCAGCCATCTCTCTCCAGTCTCTGCTTCTTAAGATCTTAATCTGGAGTTTTAGCATAACCTATTAACCAAATAAGATTCACCTTGAACCTGTTTCGAACTCTAAAGATAACTGGTTCTCCCTCATTACTAAGTAGTCTGAATAATTATAAAATTAATTGCTCAGAATCTCTCCAATTATTTACAATTAATTAGTTAATTAACTAATTTTGAAAAAAGCTTCCACTTGAGGCCCAGGCTAGCCTTGAACTTGAAATCTTCCAGTTTCCCAAGTGTTTGGACTATAGGTATGTGCTACCATGTCCAGTATTTTGCAATTCTTTATATATATTATAGTTTCAGTTAATCTGCTATTTTAACTATATACTCATACTCTTTAATCATTTTTTATATATATATACTGGGTGAATATTTTGGTATTATTTTCCAACTTCCAATTTACTCATCAATGATGAAAGAGTAAAGTTCATCTGACCAATTAGATTTAAATTTTGTACATTTTAAAATTTGTGTTATTATTATTTTTTGTTTTTAAAAGAGGGTCTCACATAGCTCAAGCTGGCCTCGAACTCAGCATATAGCCAAAGATTACCTTGAATCCCTCCCAGTCTTTCTGCTTCCCTCCCAAGTTCTGAGCCACCATATCCAATTCTAGTTACAAAGGTGGAAATAGACTTATTTTTCACTATTTACCCTTTTGTACCTTTGAATTTTGTACCACATGCATGTAGCAATCAATCATTTAATAATTCATCAATCAATCAATAATTTATCTTTAAATTCAGGGTTTCACATATGCTAACCAAGAACTCTCCCAATTAAGCTATACCTCCAAGTTTTTACTTTTAATTTTGGTGCTAGAGATTGAACTCAGGGCCTCATATATGCTAAGCACATACTTTACTTACACCTGAGCTACATCCCTAGCCCCAAACTGGAACTGTGTTCCTTTAAGTGCCAGTCTTTTCTTATCTTCCACAGCAAGGTTGGGGAATCCAACCTAGCACCTTACACATGCTAAGTAGCTATCACTGAGCAAAAGCCCTACTCTGACCTTCCCCCTTTAAAATATATTTCATACAGCAACAGATTTTATTTCCATGTGTTCAAGTTGCCTCTTTACTATATAAACCTGATTCTTTTAATTTATACTCCTCATTCTTTAATGGAGAGTATTCCTTATCTCTTTAAGCATTCCAAAATGTTTTAAGTCTCTCCCAATCAATGGAATACTATGCAGCCGTTAAAAAGAATAGATCATCCCATGGATACTAATATGAAATGATCTCTAAATATGTTCAGTTAAAAAGGCCAGTCATATAATCGTATGTGTAGAATGCTACCATTTATATAAAAGTATATGTGGGGTATATATGTGTATATGTATGTTTATTTATATGCTTGAACATGCATAAACTATCTCAAAAAAAGATAGCAAATTAGTAATAGTGGTTGCCTCTGGGGAGGGAAACTGGGTGGCTAGGCGACAGAGGTGGAAATAGACTTACTTTTCACTGTTTACCCTTTTGTACCTTTGAATTTTGTACCACGTGCATGTATTACCTAGTCAAAAAAAAAAATAAATAATTTATTTTTAAAAATAAAGTCTTTGTTGGACTACTTACTCCATAAGTTAATTTCATCCAGAGAAATCCCTGTTCTGGTGGTTTAAATTTGTTGTATTAATATTAGATGTCTTTATGAATGTTGAAATTTTGGTTATAGGCTTAAGTGGGAGAAAACATTTTTTTTTCTCCCTTCCTACTTAAGGGATTTTAGACTTGCCTCTACTTGGCCATCTGAGCCCCTAGACTACCACTGGGGTTTTATAATGATATTTCAGGGCCCCAGTTTCATGGTAATATTGGAAATAACACACATACACATTTCAGTCACTGACCCAACAAATACCTTCAACTCAATTTCCATTATGAAGCTGTGTCTTTTTTGTTGTTGTTCTTGTTGTTGTTGTTGCGCGGGGCGGGGGGTGTTGAGACATGGTTTCTCTATGTAGCCTTAGCTATCTTGGAATTTTCTCTGTAGACCAAGCTGGCCTCAAACTCACAGAGATCCATTTGCCTCTGACTCCAGAGTGCTGGGATTAAAGGCAAGTGCTGCAGCCTGGCTGAGGCTGTGTCATTATCAGCTAAAACCTACAGCCTCAGTTCATCAAAACAGCTTTTTCTTTTTTCAGACTTTCAAAAATGAGACAGACATTTCAACTAAAGTCCTGGCTTCACGTGGTGATTCGGGCTCTTTCTCCACACAGAACTCCTTAGTGCTTTAATGTTTTAACTGATAGGACGGTAACTAGCAGGTATCAGCGCTGGAATCAGACCAGGACCCTATAGCCTCAGCCCTGTGCAAAGCTCAGTCTGTGTTCTATGGCTACAGAAATACTGACATCTGTTTTGGAACCTGATTGCAACTTGGTACTACTTACTTTCTGGTTCTGTATGGATGGGTCAGCAGAATTACATCAAAATGCAGTAAGCCACATAAACTACAAGTCATTTTTCACATTTCTTTTTAAAAATAATATTGAAAATATTATCAAACTAATACAATTTCATATTTCATATTCATAATTTCATTGCTTAGAAAATAGAACGTTAATGGTAAATTACCCACTCTAAACTACTGCTAAGAGTTAAAAACAACCTTTTCTTCTTTATCATTTCATACTTGTATAATTTGCATAACTTTAACTTACACAATTCCAAATACTTGTCTATAGTATTATACAGTCTCTACAATCATCATTTTAAGGATTGTATATTAATCCACCAAACTATTCAATTGTAATTTGCTTCCCAGATCATTGAGTAGGGAAGAAGATATTATCCACGGATGTTACAAAGATGTTTTCTATGCATGTGGTTTTTTCCTCTCAGTACTCTGGATGTGGGTGTATTAAGATTATGAGAGATATTAAGCCATTGCAGTAGTACAGTAAATGGCTAAGGTTTATAATGATGACCTTGATACACAAAGAGGAAAGAAAAAAAGTCACATGAAAGTGAACAATATATTGCAGAGACGTTCCAATCCAAAAATCATTAACAGTAAAATTTGTAATTATAAGGTAAGTTTTACAACTGGATAATGTAGGACATTTTCACTAACTTGCAAACCAGATTCTGAGACTCCAAAGGCTTGCTTATTCACCAGTACACTCACCTGATATTATTCACACAGTCTTCATGTGCTTCAGAAAGGGTTTTTATGTGCTTTGAAGATATAGGGTCAAAAAGCAGAACTTCAGTCTGTTCACAAGCAACTGTCAGCACTGACCTGAAAAGAAAGCACACATTTCTCATTTATTCTTCTATATTCTCTGGTTCACGTATTTATAATTATATATATTTTTATACAAGTAATTGTACAAAATTTTCCTACCCAAGTTTTTATATTAGTAGCAAAGATTTGGAAGATTGGTACTATCCATACTAGCAGGACGAGGGAATGGAACTCTCACTCACAGAATGAAGTGTGCGTAAACTGACGCCGCTCATGCTTAAAGAGCACCTCTAAAGTATCTATCAAATTTAATTTTATCTATCTGTCTGTCTGTCTCTCTATCTCTCTGTCTATTTTGTTTTTTCGAGACAGGGTTTCTCTGTGTAGCCTTGGTTGTCCTCATTTCGCTTTGTAGACCAGGCTGGCTTTGAACTCACAGCAATCCACCTGCCTCTGCCTCCCTGAGTGCTAGGATTAAGAGCAGGCACCGCCACTCCTGGCTTCTACCACAATGTTAAACATGCAAACTGTTTAACTCAGCAATATTTTCTTGAGAATTTAGTAGAGTGAAATAATTATTAATGAATACAGAGAAACATGTCAAGATACGCTTCACTGTAAAAAGAAATTGAAAGCAATCTAAATATACATGAGAGAATGTGGATTGTATAAACCATGGAGCATTGTAGTTGTCCTAGTCAATGAGGGAAATATCTCAAGCCCCAAGTGGATGCCTGAAACTCCAAATAGTAAGGACTTCTACACATACTGTCTTCCTCCTACACACACTTATGATAAAGTTAATTTTCAAGTTAGACTCGGTAGAGATTAACAAGTATACTCAAATATAACAATTACAACTATCTTGTGGTGCAAGTTATGCAAGTGGGCTTGCTCTGAAAGCTTATTATCCTGCTGCAGACCTTAGCAGTCTTGCATCATTGTTGTTTTTTGTTTGTTTTTCATTGTGCAATGGGGAACTTCCAATCTTTTCACCTGCAGGATGAACTCTCTGGCTGCTCTCTGGCATACTCCAACTGGCAGCACCACTACTCTTGTGCTTTGTAGATCTCACTACCTAAAATAACAGTTTCACAGAAGCACTGTGAAACCTGAGTTGATTTGGTAACTAGGACAGCTACCAAGTGACTAGCAATGTGTTCTTGTATGCAGTATGAATACAGTGAAAGAGAATGACTTATATTCTAGGTGGGACAGAATGGAATGATAAGAGATTTCATCAAATTATAAAAAATGGCACCAAATATAAAACTTAGAGGAGTTATTTCTGGAATTTTTTCATTTGCCCTTTGTGGACTGTGGTTGATTAGAGGTAATTGCAAAGTAAATCATGAATAATGGGAAATTATTCTACATTTCAGAAATTAACAAATGGCTAGTGTGGTGGTTAGAATAGGAATGCCACTATAGGCTCATATTTGAATGCTTACTTATCACGGAGTGGCATAGCGAAGGATTAGAAGGTGTGGCCTTATTGTAGAAAATGTGTCACTGGGGATGATAGACTTTGAGGTTTCAAAAGCTCAAGCCAGGCCCAGTGGCTCTCTCTGCTGCCTGCAGATCCAGAGGTAAAATTCTCAGCTCCTTCTCCAGTACCATGTCTTCTGGTGTGTTGCCATGCTCCCTGCCATGATAACAGATTAAACCTCTGAAACTGTAAGAAAGCCCAAACTAAATTCTCTCTCTCTGGTTTTTTTGAGACAGGGTTTCTCTATATGGCCTTGGCTGTCCCAGAATTCACTCTGTAGGCCAGGCTGGAACTTACAAAGATCCGCCTGCCTCTGCCTCCTGAGTGCTGGAATCAAAGGTCTGCACCACCATAGCCCAGCTAAATGCTTTCTTTTATAAAAGTTGCTGTAGTCATAGTATCTCTTCACAGCAATAGAATATTGACTAATACAAGCAGCTTAATATGGAAATGAAAAAAAATTTTTTATACATATGGAGGAGGGTTGTTGTTTTGATTTGAGATAGAAGTTCACTGTTTGGCTCGGGCTAGCCCTGAACTCACTATGTTGCCTAGGTTGGGCTTGATCTTGGAGCAAGCCTCCTGCTTCAATTCTTTGCATGCTGGAATTATAAACATGCACCACTGTGCTCAGTTTCCAAAATGTTATTTAAATTTAAAAAGTTAGTTGTAAACAAACATGTATCAGAAAACTCAAGGTCGGGGGAGATAACAACCAAATTTTGCATTTCTTCATCAGTTTCTAGAAAATGTACTGGAAAGGGGCTGGCTTATACCCTACCAGGCTAATTAGAAAAAATCAGATATACCATTCTTTCCTTTATGGCTTTTTGTTTTGTCTCATATTCCATACAAAGTCTAAGTTTCATGAAATTCATTTTGATCTGTGAGACCATGCTATTTTGTTAAGTGTTAGTTGTCTATAGGCATTACTTTTCAGATTCAGATTTAACAAATGAGATCATGCATTTCTGAAACTCTATGTCTTCCCAATTTATATAGTGTATATAAACACCAGTTTGTATGTTTAAGATAAAAGCACTTAAGACAGAATTTTCTTTCTTTCTTTCTTTCTTTTTTTTTTTTGTTTGTTTGTTTGTTTGTTTGTTTTGGTTTGGTTTTGGTTTTTTGAGATGAGGTTTCTCTGTGTAACCGCCCTGGCTGTCCTGGACCTCACTTTGTAGACCAGGCTGGCCTTGAACACACAGAAATCTGCCTTCCTCTGCCTATCTAGTACTGGGATTAGAGGCATGTGCCACTACTGCCTGAATTTATGTGACAGAATTTTCAATAGCCAAAGTTTTCCTTTAAGAACAAACTTTTGAAACAAAGTGGGAAGTGCAAACATCAACACAAAGAGGTCTTATTCACAGTTAGTCATGGAATTGCATTTTAAAGGGTAACAACATGACAATTTGTGAGCTATCTGAACTTCAAAGTTTAATAATAACTACAGAATTTTGCTGCAGTTTGAATGTGCTTGCCAGATTTCATGTGTAGGAAACTTGGCCTCCCAAACAGTAACACTGGGACACATGGCTTCTAGAAAATGAGTGGGCCATGGTGAATAAATGCATCCATCACCAGAATGATGGGATACTGTTGTAAGCTCTCCCTGAACCATGTGATGCCCTTTACCATCATACAAGACAGCAAGAGCGTTACACTGGATGCCAGCCAACGCTCTTAGTCTTATACTGTATAACTCTTGGTGCTTTCCAGTGGCTGTAATAAAACACCCTGACAAAAAGCAACGTAAGGGAAAGGGTTTTTCTGGATACAGTCCATCACAGCAGCAAGAACTTGAAGCAGCTGGTTACACTGCACTAACAGTCAAGAAGCAGGGAGGGATGAAGGCTAGTGCTCGGCTCACTTTCGCCTTTATTCAGCTCAGGGTAGGGAAAAGTGCTGACTACAGTTAAAGTCAGGTCTTCCCAGACCCTCTTAGCAAAAGGAAAGTCATGTCTGGTACTGGAAGTCAAGCCAACTCCCGAGGGTTAGTGAAGTCATGGATCCTGGAGAAGAACCTACAACTAACACTTTACTAAATTAGTATACCTCTAACTATATTCTAAATAATTTGTGCAATGTCCACATATGAGTGTAATTCTCATCTCTCATGAAATAAACTTCTCTTTGTGACAGGCAGACCACTACAAAAAAACCATAACCAATGAAAATGCAGAGTTGTAGAGTCCAGTCCCAACATATAGATACATCTTTAATATAACTCACACACCTAAGGCTCAGGGATCATCTTGAAGAAGGGGTAGTAAGATATTAAGAGCTAGAGGATCAGGAAGTTTGTTGTGAAATTTTATCTTCTAGGAATGTCAGAAACCATCACCAACATGACTGAACAAGGACAACATCAATAGACATGCTAACTAATGTGGACAGAAATAAAACCAAAGAGGCTTCAACCTTACAAAAAGAACAAGCAACTAAGGAATGCTGAGAACAAAAGGCATGGTCTTGCCCAGGGAAGATCACACCAATTGGTTTTTCAATACCAAATGTTCATCTCTAAAAACATATATACAAGTAACAATATACAGACTGAACAGGTTATATTTATATATTTAGAAACATACATGTCTACATATATCTGTATGTAACAACAATTAATGAAAAAAAAGTGTCATGGGCTAGGTGGTGGCAGCAGCAGTGAGAAATGCCTTTAATCCCAGCACTTGGGAGGCAGAAGCAGGCAGATCTCTGAGTTCGAGATCATACTCGTTTACAGAATAAGTTCCAAGATAGCCAGGGCTACACAGAGAAACCCTGTCTCAAAAAAAAAAAAAAAAAAAAAGAAAGAAAGACAGAAAAAAGGAAAAGACAAGAAACAAAACAAAAAATCTATCTCTATCTAGTTTTGATTTGTTCTAGCTGCATACCAAGACTAGGCAATTTCAAAACAATTAAATTCTTTAGACAGTTTCTTGTGACATAGTAATTGTTAATTTGACTGTATCTACATTCACTTAGGAGACAAACCTGTAGCTATAGCCTGCAAGGGATTATCTAAATAATATACGTATTATAAATATATATATAAAGTATATATATTTGTTGTTGTTTTTTGTTTGTTTGTTTCAAGAGAGGGTTTCTCTGTGTAACCTAGGCTGTCCTGGACTCACTTTGTAGACCAGACTGGCCTCCAACTCACAGAGATCCTTCTGCCTCTAACTCCTTGAGGGCTGGGATTACAGTTGTGCATCACTGATGCCCAGCTGTTTTTTGTGTTTTGTTTGTTTTTAAATATTTTATTTATTTATTATGTATACAATGTTCTGTCTGAATGTATACCTGCATGCCAGAAGAAGACAGCAGATCTTATTGTAGATGGTTATGAGCCACCATGTGGTTGCTGGGAATTGAACTCAGGACCTTTGAAAGAACAGTCAGTGCTCTTAACCTCTGAGCCATCTCTCCAGCCATGGCTGTCCTGGAACTAGCTCTGTAGACCAGGCTGGCCTCAAACTCATAGGAATCCACCAGCTTCTGTCTTCTGGCTGCTGGGAGTAAAAGAGTGCACCACCACTGCCCAGCTATATTAAATATA